GTACATTAATAAATTTTCTTGATGCTACAAGTAATTTACTCATTACGTGATACCATCACCGGTAATAAAATTCTTTCAATATTTCAAAATATTTCAAACATATTTTGAAATAAATTGCATAATACTCTGTAATAAATTACGTAATACTCTGTAATAAATTGCGTAATACTCTGTAATAAATTGTGTAATATTACGTAATAAATTGCGCAATATTATGTCCAGACCGTAATTCTTGCGTGATATTACAGGCCGTAATATCTTGCGTAAGATTACGTTTATATAATTTGCTGATGTAGTTACTAAGACTGGCAAGTACAAATCAAAAGCCATGAACTTAGAAAGATATATGTTATTATATAATCTAGAAAATGAGTGTGGTATACTAACCAGTTTGTGGAATATATGGCATAGGATAGCTAGTCTAGAATTCACATGTTATCAGGCGTTATTGAAGCTACAGGAAGATAAAAAAGATAATTCATCTGAAGTGGATATAGATGATATTATTGAATTATATTGTTAAGTATTCTTAGCGTGTGTAGCAATTTCAGCTAAAAATACTTACAATAATATTTATATATTTTTTTTCTTGCAATAATATGCACTAACTTCAATTCCTATATTCAATTTGGTCATGGGGTGGCCTCTTTCAACTCGGTCCTCTGATCACATAGCCCGGCCTCAGATATATAGCTGATTGTTAGCAGTATTTAGGTATTTTTTCTTGTGCAATATTAACGGTTTTATTTAAACTCAAGCTTTATTAATATAATAGCTGAATTACACGACCAACTTTCCCAATACATAGGCTTCGAACCTAACGAAATTCATCTCCCAATCACAGAAGAGGATGGACAGGAATTTCGTGAGACAGTAGCAGATCAGGAGGGGAATGTCAGATATTGTAATGGATGAGTATCGATTTTTACTACGTTATGGGCATAATAGTAAGGGTGGTGATCAGATTCATATTGGATGGTTATTAGGATGTACAGTGTCTCAGGCAGAAAAAGTCTTAATAAACCTACCCAAAGATTTACCAAAAATGATATTAGCCTGCATTGAAAAAAGATTTAAAGAAGTCTCACTAGCGTCAGTACTCATACAGTAGATAATTAGGTGTTATCCCCGGTCTATCTGGTACCTTTGGTACTTTTTCTCTGTTTATATATTTTTTGTAGGCGGGATATCTGACTTTTTTTTTCAGCATGATACTCTCCAAATTCCGTAGCTTTTTCACAATGACTAACCATATAATTACGATTAATAGAAAAAGCAATATCGAGCAGGTGAGTACCAATGTTAGTAATTTGTCTATATCGATAGAGTTCTTCACACCACCTAATGAAATCTTTTCTTTAGAAATAGTAGCAGGTATGATTTGTTCTGAAGAAGCGCTAGAGCTCTCTGGCTCATTATTTTTTTTGCCACCACTTTTTACATATGAATCTGTCCTCTCGGGACCATCTGGCCGATTATTCTTATCAAAGTATCCTGGAGGTAATGAATTAATCACAGATTGAAGCGATTTCACTTCCTTTGATTTTGCATGACATTTAGCTTTATATTTGGCGAGAGATGTCTCTGCGCAAACATATTAGGAAAAAAGTTTAGAATTTTCAACCTTCAACCGTCTGGCCTCATCATTGATCTTTATGTATTTATTTCTCAACTTAGCATTATAGTCTCGTATCTTGGATGAGTCTTGTAAAATGCGGCGTATCTCTTTATTAAGATTATATGTTTCCATTTATTTACATTAGCTATAAACATGTAAAAAAAAATTTCTAAATTTTATGTTAGAGAATAATCACAATAAATAAAAAATGAACACAAAGGTTATCAATCATTTTCATTATTATTTTAAATAGCATATTAGAATGTATTCTACTCACCTAAAACAATAAATTATGCTTTCTAACGTCCCCTCTCATTCTAAAATAATAAATATTGAATTCTAATTTTTATTATCCATCTAAAATGATAAATATTAATGCCTAATATTTTTTATACATCTAAATACATTGTCAAAAAATATTAGAAGATTATGTCTACCTTGATTTTAAAAACCCATTATCGGCAGGGTGCCACCATTTTAACACCTGGACAGATTAAAGAAATTAGACATCTCTAAAATAAGGTCCTGATGTACATGATAGTAAATGAGTACCATATTAATAAAGATCGTGTTCATGATATATGGAACGATTGTGAGCATTCACAGCAAAATGGAAACCACTTTTTCAAGGAGCTTAGAAAGGTGCAAACCATCTCATCAGTCCCTCCTTCAGAGAATAATCCCAAGAAAAAGAAAATAATCATCCAATTGTAGGATATTTAAAGTTGTTAGACAAGTTGATTTCAAGGGAATCATCTAGTCCCTCTAAGACCCCTTTAATTCCTGAGTCTATTGAGATGAGTGGGTCCCTCCGGGACCATGTACAGGAAAAGCAAAAAAAGAAAAAGAAACTATCAAAACCTAACCCTGTTCAAAGTTCTGACTTACCTGAGATTTCAACTAAAGGTTCCTGCCAAAATTCCTCACTAGATGTCTCATATGATCTAATTGCCTCAATTAGAAAAGATTGTATTGAAGCAAAAGAAGCTATACATGAATCAGAAAAGTACCTAGCTAACAGCTCACCCTTCGGCCCATTATATTCATCAAAAAGTACTTCGCTAAGCCAGAATTCATAGTTAACAAGGAAAAAGGAATCGGAGATTTTTATTAATCTCAATTAATTTAGCTTTGGAATTGAGAGTATCATACAATATTTTTTCAAGCTCCTCATAGCTCATGCATTTTTTTTTAATATATCATACCTATTTAACTCTTGTGAGTCCTGTGATATGTTATCCAGAGTCGAAAAATCATCACAATCTGGAGTTATGTTTGCGCAATTTACCTCAAGCTTGTTCTTGACCTTATGCATAATAACTGGAATAATATAATCTTTTCCATTAAGAGGAATTTTTAGCTCATTGGTTTTCCAATTCAATGCACAATTGTATTTTTTCAAAAGCTGATTAGAAAATATTAACGTCGGCTTCTGATATTTCACAACAATAAAAT